TGTTTCTTAAACCCTAGTTACTTGGTCGTATTTGTGCCATAAGAGGTTAAGGCTGTAAAGCTCATGTTGTTCTGGTTTCACTCCTATGCTTACATACTCCATCACTCTATTTTTTATTAGTCCATTTTCTGAGAACGATCCAAGGGCGTCTTCCTGTACAGGAATCACCCTCGAATTCGAAAGGGAGACCTTCTTCTCTCAGGAATTCTGAGGGTGCTAATAATGAATGAGAATCGATTCTTCCTTTTCCCTTTGTCCGGAAATTTTGGGTTGAAGGGAAAAATTTTTTTCCGGCGTTTTTTCTTCGTTTCTTCCGTTTTTCGGAGCTGGAAAAGCTTAAGTATTGCATCAAGAAATCTCAAACTTTTTGATCATTTTTTGAAAGAGAATAGATTTAGGCTTCTCCCAGCGTAGTTACTCTTCATATGCCTCAGTTTCAGTTGAGCGAATTATTCTCGTTCAGTGTTTTGCACTTTTTACATAGTATACTAAGTACAAACGACAATTAACTTGCCGTCCGCCTTGCCACTCGTCACTTTACAACTGAACGTTTTCTTTCTTCTGACGGCTTCACAAAATATGATCATAATTGAAACTTCCGTGAGATAGACCCAATTTTCACTCTAAATCTTCCTCAATCTCTACTTTTCTCAACACATAAGATCGAGCTAGTGTAGTTGAGTTAGCTGGAGAGGGTGGTACTAGTCTGTAAAGGGGAAGTGGGCGATCACTTTTCCAAAAACTCCATCGAAATTCACATACATTCATGTAATGAAGAATGCGGGTACTTTTTCGAACAAGCAAACTTTATATCAAAAACATCAAAGTGGCCACGCCTCACACAACCCGTTCTTTTTTTAGAGCTTATGGGGACGTTTTTTTCATACCCTAAATGTAACAACGATTATAATGAGCTAAAATAGTTCCAAGAGTCACGAGGCATATTTTTTCTGTACTTTTGAAAAAAAAAAGAAATTGAATCAAATCGAAATCATGAGAACAGCAGCAGCAGGCTCAAGGGGTCGTGAAAAACGCAAAAAAAAAATCAATCACAAAAATTTAGATGGCGATAAAAAGCTTTATAACAGCCTTTTCTGTCCTTTACCATATTTTCAAAACAAAAGACGTCATGATTAAAAATTAATATAATAAAAGTGGCCCGTTTTGTTTACTTTTTTTGGGACCATTTGGGCGTTGACTGATGGTGCTCAGCTTATAGTCACACCTTTTACAATGAGAGTTCGCATGGTTTGGCTACAGTAAACAACAAACAAACAGATCAACTTTTCTTGAACGGTATCCCAAAACCGCATTGTTTTTTTTCCAACTGTGCATCAGATAGCATTCATTCATATTTATCAAATTACACTAAAATTTGGCGTCGGTCCCTTTTAGGAGCCAATCTTTTTCGCAACTCCAATAGCTCCGATTTTTAGTGTAAATAGGTTCTCAACGATAGAATGGCCTATCAGAATCAACTCATTTGCGTTAGGGATTCTTAGCTTGCCATACTTTCTTAAAATGTTTTGTTATGGTGTCTCTGAATTACTTTTCATTTTTAATTCGAATTTTTTAGGGTGTCGCCGCAGCCGTCCGTGTAACACCACGTTATGCTGTGCTGAAACTTCAGCCCGATTCTGATTGTGTGGCCTTGTTTCAGTTTGCGGTTAGTTCTTGATATTCTCGAGTTTTCCTTGCCAGTGTGAAGTTCACAGCATAGGGGAACCTACATAGAAGCAGCACTGAAGCTTTCCCGATTCACGGTCCTGCAGAGAAGAAGTGTCTGTTGGCTTCTGAATGAGGGATGCATTGGCGTAGGCAGGCGGAATAACTTAAAAACTTCTGAGAGTCTTCATTTTTTTTTTGTTTCAAGGCTGACGTTCATTCGTCTATGAACTCTCAAGAGAGCTAGCTGGGGTACCAGTTGTGGGCAAGGAGCCCTTTGACTTTTTTCAATTAAAAAAAATAGTGTTCTTAAGAATATTTTGTAACTTCTTTTTACAAACGTGAACAATTTTTTAACAGTTCCGCCGGCGCCATTCTTCAAGATTTAGTAAGCTAGACAGAAAAAGGCTTCTCCTTCACTCCAAAGATGGCGAGTTGTGGGCAAAACTTTGGCCTTCAGGCCTTTGCCCGCACTTGACTTCCCAAGCCCCGTGGTCTTTATCGCTGACAGTGCCGAATTTAGTGAAAATATTCTACATATATTTCTTCGTTTCGATGATTTCCAAAACCAATGGAACGATTGATAAGAAGATAGTCCTTTTCAAATGGGAAATGGGCACCATTGTTCTTTTGGACTCAATCTGTTGTAATGTGCATTTGTTTGATGACGATGATTCATTGACCTTTTCCAACGATATTTTATTGATGGCCGAATCTATTGAAGCAACTTTGTTTACTTGTTTACTTAGCAACTATTTAATTTCAAGTTTTATTCCTTCATTTACTGTATATATTATATCGCTTATATACAGGTGTGTGCTTTTAGCCTCCCAGCGATTCCGACTCCAGTTTACGATGAAAGGATTGGTTTTTTAGGGACTAGAAGGGCAGGAGTGGTCCCATTGCTAGACTTGGTCCTTCCGTGGACCTTGTAAATGGTGGCGCTGAGATTACCGTATTTTCGAGTAGTAGATAGACGACTTGAACTCCGTTGTTCCCAGAGCATAATCCAATTAATGCAGAGCGAAATCTGTTCGCTAACAGAATCTCTTAAACTTCCCTGGCGAAATAAACAATAACAATCATTAAATTACAGATTTTTTGATAACTACACATACAGCATTGTATTTTCGGGTATGTCCCGAAGTACAACATATTGGTGATAATTGTAATGGCTTTTATCGGGGGTTTCCGGAGGTGACCATTCTTCTGATCTGGGAGAAAGTGAACGAAAGGTGCGGGAGATAAGTGCCTAGGATGAGACGTTTAAGCTCTTTGAACCAGTCCTTTACTGCATGTACACGCTTGGCATATTTTCGCCTACTCGTGCTTCCCACCACCGAATGTTAGCTTTACGTTTCCTAAGCGTTTCTCATTACACGCTGACGTGGGTATTCGTCTGAGCAGAGCGGAATGTGCTTCAGTCAATATCCGTCGGTCAAAGATTGCAGTTGGCCCCGACGAGGCCATTCTCGTCGTCTTCTGCCTAACGCGTCACCACGACTCTTTCCATTGACATTCGCAATTCTGCGAATTTCGAGAGCTTTTCAGACGGCGAGAAGCCTATCGATAGCTGAAAACATGGGTGCGTTTCGGCCAATGCAGGTGATGTGGAATGAACCCGAATCTTTCGGCCTAGCGCAGGGGATATCTTTGACACCCCTGCAAGTTTACTGGCGCTTAATAATGTCGGTCTTATACAAAAAATAGGATATGGATCCCATTTGGTGGGGGACACCAATGCCTGGAATTATTTGTTTTGAGAAACCTGACGAGCCGAAATTAGCTGTCGTAAGGATGGCAAGCTCAGTTTTTCTAGGTCAGTACCGGTTCAATATTGATCCTGTACCATTCGGGTGATAGAGTCTCAATTAGCGCTACTGACGTGACCTCAATTTGATGAGGTACTCGTTGGATTTCAATTTATTTCATTGTCCAGTGAGCACTAACTGTCAAACCAAAAATTGATGCATCAAAAGAAAAAGGTCGCACCTGATAGGCTTGAATTCGATCTTCTCGGAGTTCACTATCAGTACTTTAGCACACTGAACGAGAGCATATTCAAAAAAGGCTCTCTTGGGAACAAGTGGCACCCTTGATTTTGAGCTCTACCTTAACCGAAGGAAATATGTAAATTTCCTGGCTGTCCGATACCACATGGCTTTAGTCCGAAAACCAGTGCCTGCCTACTCCTTCGACGCCTCCCATCCCTTCACATCAGGTCGAATGGTACTAGATCTGTTCCACACAAAAAATTACCGACTTTCCCAACAACTGGCCTTGTAATGGGTCAAGTACTACCCAACGCCAAACGTGAGCCTACGATATCGAAGGAAGTTTGTATAGTGCGTGTGAGCAGTTAGGAGCAACAATAGTGAATCCCATCACCTATCAGTTTTTCTTTATTCTACCGTAAACAGCCAGTGAGTCAGCCATTTCGTTTCAGCTTTCGCAAGGTATCTGCGACATTTCATTCGTCACCTCACCATACGAGTTCTTCACGGAACTTCGTGATTCATCAGCCTCACCACGGACCTCTCGTCTTGAAACTGTCTCTCCTCCGCTCATTACTCCATCCACCTCGCACACCTCTTCATCTGCTCAACTTCCTCCTACACTCACAGCCAACAATGACCAGAATTCCTCCAGGTACAGTTTTGGTAAAGCTGACATTTATCGAAGAAACTCGAGAAATATGAGTAGTGATTGGGAACCCTGAACACAATGAATTCCAACACCGAGCACCACGGAAGGCACTGTGCTCACATGCTATGCTATGCCTGGTGGTTCAAAAATTTTCAAAAAATTTACACTATCAGTGCATAGCGTATGCCTTCGCAGAAGTTTGGGGAGGAATGGGCATTGTGGCATCGTTTCTGCATTAAAAAACTTAAAGGATGGAAGGGTATTGGAGATCGTAACCCTTTTAAGCAGTTTCGTCACTAGGGGATTTCAGTCTGGGAGCTTTCGAGGGAGAAAAGGAAATCAAAAATCCAGCTTAGTCAGGAAGAATTTACTTGATTAGGAGAACTACATTTAGTGTCTTCAGTATCATTTACCTAAGCGAGGTGCCTTCTTCTAAGCTGTCTTTTTTCAGCCCCTCACTTAATAATCCAATGTTTCAGCTCAGAAACTGTCCCTGGCGGTTTCTCGAACCCCGATGACGGACAAACAGCTTCGTCACGTTGCGCCTCAATCGAATCAGCAACGCCTCCACCCGCCTCGATGGACCATTTCAACACCGTACTCTCGACGTTATTTGGTAAAGGAGAACCTGCTAAGGACGTGCGTATAATTAATGGGGTAGGTTATTAAGGTCGATTTTTCCTTTCATTTTTACGATGCTATCTTAAGTTTTTTTTCAGCCTCCGCCAAAGGCCACATCACCCCCTCCTGAAATCCCTGGTCCTGGACAGATAAAATGTCGTCTGTGTGGCATAACAGTCAGCTGCAAGAAGTGAGTGTATTCAAAGATTTTTTGATGAGCTTCTCCCATTGTTCAGCTCATTTTTTTCAGAATCGCAAACTTGACAGCTCATGCTTTAAAAATTCATACTCCAGTGCCATTGTGGAAGTGTCCGAAACGCGAATGTGAATTCGACCATGCGGATTTCACCAGGGTAAACTGAAAACCTGAGTTTGAATATTGAAAGACCCGACTAAAAATCACATCGAAAAAGATTGGGACATAAAATCTTGAGTTTGACCTGTTCTGAGTCAGTAAAGAGCAGTTGTGAGTGGTCTTCGTGAAGCCGCTAACCCTATAAGAGTTGCCACAAGGTATGATCTGTATAGAATCTGGTAAGAACAATTGTTTGGGAATTCCCAACGGAATATCACTAAACGAGAAGAGCAGCTATTTAAAATAAAATTATTTTTAAAGGGATACGAGCAAATAACTCGTTAATGAGAGATTTCCGGGGGGGGGGGGGGGTGAAAGATTGAGCACAGATAACTAGCACAGATTAACTACTCAGGGTTGCGCCATGCAAACGATTACAAACAGAAATCGTTGGAGAGCCATCCGGCTCATCATACGGAGTCAAAGTAATCTCTCATAGTAGATCTGGTCGTACAGTTACAATCGGGCCGAGAAAAGGGTCGTCTGGTTGTGGTCCTATTCAAGTTCACCGGTCCTGGATATTCGCTGTGGCACAAAAAACGCCCGAAACCTGGGAAGATCACGTATTAATCATGTTTTTCCGCCGTCATTGGGTATATTATTTTTTCGACTTTTCCGGATTTAGCAATAGACTTTAGTGCTTGTTCATTGTCCCCAAGTTATCCCGATTTCCAGTGGTGTATAGGTATAGCCTTGCCTAATGCACCTTAGTAGTTAAGTAAATAAATAAGTGGTGAAAATGATCGTAAAAATAAAGCAGATATTCGTCCATCATTTTTTCCTAATTTTCAGGTGCGTTCCCACATTCGAACCTCACATCCGGAACTTCAAGGTGAAATACCTCGTGATAACCGTAATTCGGTTACCGTGCCCGAAGCTCAACGCTACCTCGCCCATTGCTATCCCTCCATAGACTGGGTAAGTCTCATCAGTTCAGTCGATAACTACGCTGTTCTCACTGATGCATTCTTCAGGCACATCAGTACGCAAATATTTTTCCTACAGTAAAAAAGGATAGCAAGGAACAGTCTCAGACCGAACTTCGAGACCCCGCCTCTGAATGGTATACAGTAATCGATGAAAGCAATCTGAATACCCCAGTACAATGTAGTGCATGTAGACTGATGGTGAGTTCCCATTAGAGAATGTTGGTTGTAAGAAAAACCTCAAAAAGGTAGTTTAATTCGCTCTCATAGCTAACCCTACCATTGCCAGAATTCGGACTTTTAGAGGGTAGTTAATCTGTCCTTGCTGATATGACTATTTTCCGAAATATTTCCACCCACAGGATTTCAACAGGGAGATTCCAATATTAAGGGGGGTCGTGAGGGCAACAAAAAATCATAGACCGTGTGAAGAAACCTTGCCGGAACATACTCAGGCTGTAAGCAAGTATGCTGAGCATGAATGTGTCGTTTGTTGGAATTTTCGCTCCTGCCCCAAACTTCCCTCTACCTTTTTCACCTCCACCCTCGACAAGATTCGGTTTCTGGCCATTCGGAGTCGCGCTGGTTAGAATGAAGGGAAGGAGAAGATTGCAGAGAGGGGGGGGGGGGGGNGGGGGGGGGGGGGTATGGGAGAAAAAGCCTCACAAGCCTTTTTACGAAGCCTCACATATCCAAAACTACTTCGAGATCTTCCGAACTCCTTTCTAGGCGGATAGTTTCAGTGAAATTTCTTTTTCAGGTTGCCCTCAATAAGCACAGTATCGAGGATCATGTGAAAACAATGCACAGTAGCGGACGACCGTACCAGTGTGGAATATGCAAATATACCAGCGTCGAAGAGGTAAAGGCTGATAGTACCCTTTGATCGTTTTTATCATTCCAATCTCATAAGTCATCATACTTCAGTGGAAAGTTCGAGTTCATGCGTCCATCAAACATCCGGAAACACCATGCCTTCAAATGCTCACCTTGGCCTCACATAGCAAACCTTACCTCTACATCAGAGAACTTTTCCCGGATATTGCTGGTGAGTGTAGAGAAGTGGGTGAAGATCTGGCAGTGGGTTCGAAAGCAGTCACTGGCTTGAGCTCAGGTGCGAGTTTCGATCAGCCCTGCCGGTCAACTAAAGCAAGCTGGCATGAGTAACTTACTTGTAGATTGAAAAGGACAAAAAAAATCAGCTTGATGTCTGTATCGGAGGTTTCCTTTGTGCATTTTAATGGCGTCTGATTGTTGTCCGTTTACCCTACGTCGGTCATGTCTATAAAGGGGCCAGTTGTTAGCAGTAAGGCAAAGTAATGCGGTCAGAAATCCAACAATGAGAGATATTATCGCAAGAGAGCCAATTCATCCGCAAAACAGTTACCCCCGACAGTATTCGATCCAAGCGTGTGCCGTACCAGGGTAACACCTTTGTCCAATACCCATACCGTCGTCCTCGGCGTCTTAGAGGTATATTCACCTAACTCATGAAGGACTAGAAATAAAAAAAAACTACGAGGAGTGGGACCTTTTATGGTCCATCCTAAATTTGCTATCACAAAGAATGAAAGGTATTTTTACAGCTCTGCTACCAGAGGACGAAGTCGACGAAATGCTTTACGGGTTCCGTCAACTAAATCCGTCCGTGCTACTTTCAGTACCGACCTCACTCAATTCGCTTTCCGAAAATGTTGCTGATAACACTGTCGTTGATTCTACCTCATGTTTTGACCTCAAGCCAACCAAGGTATGTTCGTTAGTCCTAGTTCATATAACATCTATGAGGGATAGTTCAATAGGTGACGCATCCAGAAATGCGTAGAACCCGGTCCATAAGGGATAAATCTTTACCAAGCCACGCCTCTGCTCTTTGAGACTTGACTCATGACTGTCCTGAATGGGAAAAACTGGCTTTAGTTACGATTATTCTATTTATGAGTGGGTTCTACGACAGTGTGGATCACTGGGTCATATCAAAATTTCGCATGATTAGATCCAGTAGGAAAGGAGTTACTACTGGAAGTACGACTAAAGAAGCGTTTGGCCGGATACTTTTGAGCGCTAATGTACATATATGTGAAAGGGCTGCTTAAGCATAGAGGCATTTTTGATCAGAATAAAAGCTGTGAGCTGACGAAATAGGTGAAAGAAGCTACGGGAAAAAGGCAGGCTGCAAAAAAAAAGAAAGTGAAAAATAGTAGAGTATACATATATTGGAGCTCTGGCTTTGGAAGGTGGCGACTGCATCAAAACATTAGACAGTTAGGTTAATGAATAGTTTCACCTGAGAACTTCGTACGGCCCAAGAATCTTGTATTATTAAACAACTATTCTAAGGTTAAAGAAAAAAGAAGTGGGAGACTGTTCCCAATTAAATTTTTAGCGGACAAACTTAGTTGGATATCAAGCAGCTTGTGAGATTAGGTTATCCCTCGTGTATCGAATACTTCAACCTAGATGATCAATTTTCTCAACTACTACGATTTTTTTCGAATGGGTTACTGTAGAGAAAAGGGAGTTTTAAAAATTGAAAAAAAATGATTACTACTTAATATTTTCTGTCTTCTTTATGAAACATCACATCCAAGGGGCTTTGTAGATTACTTATCTCACGACGATTTCAGCCTCCGACACAGCTCACTGAAGAAACTACCCCAATGTTACCGGATCCATTCCAAACGATATTCCTCGAATTACTCAACAATCAACATACACCTCTTCCTGTTGTACGTTTGTTAAAGATTTTATTTAAAGACCTGAGTCATGTAATTTTTGACTTTTCTTTTTGAATTTCAACCGAGTTGGTTAAATTAACTTTAAAACGAGCATTATCAGTTGTAATTATTGTTGTCATTTGTATTTGTCCTGGTTAAATAATTAGTAATAATTAATTAAATTTAAGAAATTTATCCTTGAAATTTCATGCATTGCAGAAACCGTCTCCCATACGAAAAAATCATAACTCGCTATCGGTTGAGCGATTTGGAAGCCGAGTGGAGTGCGCTGTAAGTAGATTGAGTAATATTCCCATCTGCAATGTATGGATTTCTCAATTTTCTGGTCCTGAAATTAAAATCCCTTCAGATGTGCAAAGCACCAGTGGAAAGCAAGCGGACAATGCTGGTCGGTCATGCCAAATCTCACTGTCCACAGCGACAGGTACGTGTTTTTGCGAGTGGGAGTTCCCACAAACTTCCGTCTCTTCCGATCGCCAAGCTATCCTGGGTATGAGTTCCATTAGGAGCATACAAAAGAACCCTCNGCCCTCGAAATTCCCAGCATGTCTCGGATCCTTGATCAGTTTTCGAGTTATTTTCCGCAAATAACTAGTAAACCACTGCCGTTGTACAGTAATTCTGAGCCTTTCCTGGTGGTAAGATTACGGTAACACCCACAAATTGCCTTCGACCAAAATTTTCAGTTAAATATTTCAGTGGCAATGTCCTCACTGTGAAACGACCGCCGCTTTCCATTCGAAACTGAAATTGCACGTTCAAAACGCTCACAAAAGTGATGCCGAACCTATGGACATGTAGTAAGTTCTAATTATCCCTAAAATAAGCCTCAAGCTGTCCAGATATCGCAGATTCTGAGAATAAATAAAGTGAGCATTATCTGGTTTCTTTCAGCTCAGCCGAATTGGAGAACAAATGGCTAGAACTGTTCCGGCAATGCTTTCCACAATTCGCTCAGCAGTGTTTCGTCGAAGAGTGGAAGTTCCGTTCCAAACAACAGCAACATCTTCATAGCATATCGGCGGATGATTGGAACCCTCGAGGTAAATTCATGGATTCAATGAGCGAGCGACCTGAGGGAGTTCAATGAGGTGAAACTCCAGGCTCGTATCGATAGATTAGGATGAAAGAATGAAATGAGTCGTGATGGACTAAGTCGACCGTGATTTTTCTACCGTATTTTGAGGATCGTCGTATGTGAAAAATCCGCTCCCTGACCTTATGGCACACTGCTCGCAATCACAAATATAGCACATTGTGGCTATTCAGCATCATGACCTCATTTGGAACTAGGCCTTTCTCTGTCATACATCACTTACAGCGCTGATAGCTCTGATAGTCGTACATAACTGCTATCTGAAAGCTTTGTTGTGTAGAGCCTGAAGCTTGAATTTCCTTAATTTGTACGTGGAAAGCGTTGTTAATGGATTCCTATCGTTCTACGGTCTAACAGGAAACATGAACTCTGCACCTTGTGCGTTCGTTAAAAGCGGACTTTGATGGCACCTGTCCCTGAATCGTTTTCCATCATCGCAGATCTTACTCTTGTAATTTTTGTGTGGCAAATAGCAACTCGAAAGCTACCAAATTTCAAAAAGTCGGAGGAAATAAACATCGCCGAAAATAGTAGCATCTTTTATTGTTATTGGCCATAATCAGCCAGAACCCGAATATAGTGGGGCAAGTTGTTTTATGAAAGGCGAGTCCCAAAAATGAGGTTCCCTTTTTTTGAGCTTCTAACTTCGATTGATGCTTTATTTTATGTAGAGCTGTGGGTAGTTTAACGATGCCCATGCCAGCTGGCTACCATGTCCTTCGGGAAGCGTCGAAGCGAATCGGAGCACAACCACCGTCTTGACAGATGTTCGTCCCACCAAGGACGGGTAAAGAACAAAAGGGACGTTAGAAAAACAGATGACTACTGCGTTTCAGCAATTTGAGGGGTATTAGTAGACAACTTATTCCCAGTTACGACTGCACTAGACGATTACAGATTCTGAGAAATACTGTAAAGTACCAAAGCGAATCAGCAAAAGCACGTGTATTCCTTACTAAAACCCGACGAAATTGGCATTTTTCGTGCACAAATGCCGTATAACTAGCACAAGAAAATGCTATGACCGAAGTCAATTCCATAAATAAATAAGGCTGTCTTTAGCCTTCAATTTATGATCTAGATAGGTGGTGTGGACGGGGTTGGACGAGAATGCAACGACAAAAGTTACATGAAATGGGTATTTGGACGAGCTGTTCTAGTTTGTGCACCATTGCTTACATCAGGTCACACTTACTGTCTGCTTGCAACCTGAGCGTCCCGATGGGAATATTGCAATCCCTAAAGCCTCTACAATGCCGTGAAAACTCGTCCGCGTTAGGTGCATACATCTGCTGAACCTGTTTTGGCGCTCTTATTGCGCCCTATCTAGGCCGTTTTTTCCCCGACAGGCTCCCAAGTACTGTCTTAGGGGGTTATACTTTATCCCAGATAGGAATCTTAGAATCAATTTTCATCGTGAATTATGCCTCCTCTCTGGTGTACGGAGACGATTGAATAAAGAAAAGAACGGTTGACTTAGAAAGTCATATTGTTTCACCATATTATACCCTTCGTCCATTTTGAAATAGAGCATTTTACGAAAGCTACTTAGTGCTGCCTGGTCAGACGAAGAAAATTCCAGGAACTGATGGTGGCGAACAGCTGAGACGTACGATTCTGATTGAACCGGAAGAGCCACGAAAGGAGGTCGAGGAAAAGCCAGAAAACCATCACAACACTTCATCAAACGGTCTTCAACATCATTCCATTCCATCACAACCATTTTGTAATAACAGTGCTTCTGTGTAATTCTGTCTAGCCAACAATCCTCAGCTATCATCGAAAAGACGTCTTTGAGCGAAAATTTTTTTACGACGATCTGGCTCTCTACTTCATACTTGTTCATGTGCATAAAATGCGTAATTTATTCATTTGTGCTGGTCTCTCTGTTTTATTCCTCGACAATCCAGGTTAATAAAATGTACTCATCTTTGCACTTGTACTTTGCAAATTCACCTAATCCTAGTAGTAGAATAGAGCCTTTATTTTGAAGTTCGGTAATCTTAGAATCTGAGAATCAAGGGTTACCATTGAAAAACAGACATGAAGTCGTCGACGCTGGTAGGGCACGGAGAATGGGGGTGAAGTCATCCCGTGGAATAATTCCATTTAAGAATGCTTCCATGTATTCGTCTTTGATTAGAATCGAAGAGATACTCTTACAAAATAGAGTTTGAATAGCGGTAAATTAGTATGAAATCAGTGACACGTCTATTAAACTGAAAAAAATTTTTGGACGAGTTTAACTTTGAATTCCTTCATAAAAAAGCAACCGTGCGAATTCGGGGGATGAAAAGTAGGTTCAGAAGTCCTTACCGGTGTCCGAGAATTCAGAGATTGCAGTCGTGCTTTCGACGCCCTTGAAGCAAAAGAAGCCCTGGCTACGGTAGACCTTCACATACCTGATAGAGATACCTTCAGGAATATTGAAATTTGGAGTAGGCTCGCTCGGTAGGACAAATTTGAAGTGCTAAAGGATCTCATAGATCAGTCTTCCTGATATTTTTCAGAACAAGAATAGCTAAATTAGCCTAGGTGAGGTCCGGAATTCAGTGATGGGTGCAGTATAAGGACCGCTCGTCTTTGCAACAGATCCTTTACATATAAATTGAGGCTTGCACTCAATGAAGCCCCAGAATATAATTTCCGTCCCACTCCCGTTGTCAAGAAAACGTAAAACACTACCGTCGACTCGATTTGATGGAGATGTGCCCATGTGTATTTGTTTT